AAGGGCGGCATAGGAGCCATATGAGTTGCCAAAAAAGGCGTGCAATAACGCTGAGAGTTGTTACGCCCAGGAATTCGGCTCAAGGCTCACTCGGGGTAATCAGATTTCTCAAAATTAGTGCGAGGTGGCAGATGCAACCGGTGATAGTTTACAGACTACTTGCTGAGACCGCAGAGTTCCGTGTCTCACTTCTTACTTGTGTGGCTGACTGTATCCTCGTATTTATGATGTCGGATGGAACAAGCTGAGATGGCTGCAAGTTACCTCGGCGAATGATGACAACGTACCCGACCGGCTCTTCCTGGCCCCATACTCCATAATTCGTTGGCAGCACCAATATCAGGAGGTGAGCAGAGTACAGTTGAGACATGGGCGGGACATTGGCGATGTGACAGGTGACTAAGGCAACGACAACTGCAGCCCTGAAACATAAAGAATACCTAAGAGTAAAGCTTACGAGTCCGCCTCGTTGCTTACTTGTCTTTGATTTCATGTGTCTCTCAAGCTCATGTGCCCTCTTCTTTTGCCCTCGTACAACACAGTTGTAATCGCGGGAATTGAACCTGGGAAAATACCGCTCTTCGGAAGCGGAAGCTATTACCTATAGGCTATACGGAACGGCTTCTGTCATGTTCGGTCTCGGAAGACACCGGCGCAGTGTTCGTACGATTGATTTTGCAGGATCCACAGCGGTGTTTCCAGAAGAGCAGGGGTCCTTGAAGAAAGGCCATGTGGGCATAAGAAAAAGAAGATGTTGGCTCTTTGGTTAGTAGGCAAATAGGTTCCGCGGAACTCAAGCGAGCAGCAGAGAAGGAAGAGAGAAAAAAAAAAAAAAAGCCAATAGCAAACACCGAAACTGGGGTGGTATTACCAAGAGAATTAAATAGAAAGGGACAAAAGGGATCTGACCTCAGGTCACTTTCGCATTTGCGCAGCGGTGTTGAGTTGGTCTACCAATCAGGTGTCATCAGAAATTGGCTATAGACGAGCAGTGATTGGTTCAAGTGCCGACTTTCGGTATTCGGAGACCCCACTTTGCGGACTTAGGGGTCCCACCATCAACGCCGTACAAGACAACCCCGGCCCCATGGATGAGGATGTACCTGAGTACCTTACGGCGATGGAAGTTTGGCAGCCCTCTCAGGTCTGCCATCTGGCCCCGAGGGACGCTGAGGATGGGAAATCGCTTGCAGCGGCACCCCCAACCCACCGCCTAGAAACTTAGAGCAAATGCGATGCTTTAGGTTGGATCTCGGGGCGAGCTGCCCAGGCCTGACCTGAATCTCATCAACCACTCACAAGAGTCCCAAAGGCTCCAAAAATGCGCAGGGCCGCACCTACCACACCCTGTGCCGAGTCGCTGGTGCGGCGTGCCGTTGAGGTGGTGCAGCAGTGCAGCGGTGCTGGGGTTCAAACTTCAGCCAGATGGCGGGGCGGCCGGTCGGCACGAGGTACACTGTACCTACCACCTACCTAGACCGTAACCCTTCCACTGCGCCCTTGGGGATTTGGTGTCATGGCGACTCTTCACCGGAGACACTAAAATAAAGCACTTGTCCGGGAATCTGCTCGTTTTTCTCGCTTCCCCTTCCCGTTTTCTCCTCATCTTGCTTAACCTCTCTCTTTCCCCCTTTTTTCTCCTATTTCTGCTCATCACCAGCAGGAATACCGTCCCATTGTCGATCTCAAGTGTCGACCGCTTCTTTCTGCCCATTGACCTGTGTTCAGCCCCTCAGCGCTGATCACTTTTCTCTGGCAAGCCCGCTGACCTCACTCATATCCACGTCTCGCGCGCGCTTTGAGTCGCCACACACCGAAATCTACAAACCGCACACAACAAATCCAGAGTCGCACACCGTTCTGCTCCGAAACAAACCAAACTTGAACAACAACAACCTCGAAAACGAACCGCACGATTAACCTCTGTCAGCCTTCGAAACAACCATGGAGGCTGCCCTGCGTCAATCCAAGGCCATGTGCCCCTTCTTGAAGTCGGCCTCGCCCGCCAAACTGCGCGCGCTGTCTACCTCGGCTCGTCCTCACGCCATTCAGGCGGCGCCCCAGACGACGGCCGTCTCCCCTTGCGGAGGAACAATGTCCAAGTTGCAGCTCCTCGCCCACCGCTGCCCCGTCATGGGCAAGGCTCTGACTGTACAGTCTGCCCAGTACGGCCATGGACGCCCGGCCAAGATGGGAAACTCGTCTTCTGTTGCTGGTATCCGCGCCTTGAGCACCAACTCCAAGCCCGGCCGCGCCAACATCCACACCAGCCGCAGCAAGGATGCCCGGGCTGTTGATGCCCCCTTGCTCAACAAAGGTATGGAAACCATACTGTGAAGAAGAAAAAGAAGGAATCCTCGTGGCTAACCATTGACGTAGCTCAAGCTCCTCCCGGTATCCCGGCTGCTCGTCAGAGCGCTGCTTCGACTGTTGGCATGGGCAATTCGGACGCTTCCAAGGCCAAGTTTAACTACGAGGCCTACTACAATGCCGAGCTGGAGAAGAAGCACAAGGACAAGTCTTACCGCTACTTCAACAATATCAACCGTCTCGCCAAGGAATTCCCCCGTGCCCATATGGCTGGAAAGGAGGAGAAGGTTACCGTCTGGTGCGCCAATGACTACCTCGGAATGGGCCGCAATTCCCACGTTCTGAAGTCGATGCACGAGACCCTGGACGAGTACGGCGCCGGCGCTGGTGGCACGAGAAATATCTCTGGACACAACAAGCACGCTGTCGAGTTGGAGGGCACGATTGCCAAATTGCATGCCAAGGAGGCCGCTCTGGTCTTCAGCTCATGCTATGTAGCAAACGATGCTACTCTGGCGACTCTGGGTAGCAAGATGCCCGAGTGTGTCATTCTGTCGGACAGTCTGAATCATGCGTCCATGATTCAGGGTATCCGTCATTCCGGAACGAAGAAGATTGTCTTCAAGCACAACGATGTTGCGGATCTCGAGGCCAAGTTGGCGTCGCTGCCGCTTCACGTTCCCAAGTTGATTGCGTTCGAGTCTGTTTACAGCATGTGTGGATCGATCGGCCCCATTGAGGAGATTTGCGACTTGGCCGAGAAGTACGGCGCCATCACGTTCCTCGACGAAGTCCATGCCGTCGGTATGTACGGCCCGCACGGCGCCGGTGTCGCAGAGCACCTGGACTTTGAAGCGCATCAGCAGGGCCGCCCCAAGGGCAGCATCATGGATCGCATTGACATCATCACTGGTACCCTTGGGAAGGCATACGGATGCGTTGGTGGATACATTGCCGGCAGCGCCAAGCTCGTCGACATGATCCGCTCCCTCGCTCCTGGATTCATCTTCACCACGTCACTCCCACCCGCGACCATGGCCGGCGCAAAGACGGCCATTGAGTACCAGATGGACTACGACGGCGACCGTCGCCTTCAGCAGCTTCACACCCGCGCGGTCAAGGAGGCCCTGAACGACCGCGACATCCCCGTCATCCCCAACCCTTCCCACATCATTCCCATCCTGGTTGGCAACGCCGAGCTCGCCAAGCAGGCGTCGGACATGTTGCTCCAGGACTACCAGATCTACGTGCAGTCCATCAACTATCCCACGGTCCCCGTCGGGCAGGAGAGACTGCGCGTCACCCCCACCCCCGGCCACAAGAAGGAGTACCGCGACCAGCTGGTTCAGGCGCTCGACGAGATCTGGACCAAGCTCGGCATCAAGCGCACCTCGGAGTGGGCTGCCGAGGGCGGCTTCATTGGCGTCGGGGAGGCTGACGCTGCCCCCGAGGAGCCCCTGTGGACCGACAACCAGCTTGGCATCGAGCAGGCTGCGAAGGAGATCAAGGCCGCGGGAAACATCAGCAATGGCTTTGTCGAGGCCCTGCTGGAGCGTGAGTCCAAGGCGACGACTGGTCAGGCCGTGAGCTCTGCCATTTGATACATTTCACGTTCTCTGAGGTGGTTTGGTTTTTTCGTATTGGAAAAACCTAGCACCAACCATTTCAACGTTGATATCTGAAAGCAAAGGGGAGCTCATCGTACCTAGACCACGTTCTTTGGAGCGATCAACAAGTTTTTTTGTGTGATTTGAAACCCACGTCCCGTGGCCACAATTGTTCTCTTTCGATTTGAGATTGATGATTTCGTCTATATGATGGGATCTGATTCTCAGTGTTGGTCGCAATAACCAATAGTTTACAAAATATGAATGTCATTTATTGGCACATTTATTCATCAACCTCTGGTTCTTCTCTTCTGGTATATACGTGATATTATCGTGATATTTGTGTTGCTACATCTTACTAAGGGTCATCCGAAGTGGGCAATTAGCCGGCCGGGACACTTCATGCATGGCTGACATTTCGGAATCGCAAAGTTAATTTATGCGAATGCGGTCTTCCCGTCCCCGGAGTCGGCGAGGAAAGCACAGCCCGATGTAAACCCGGCACTTGCCCAGACGGGTCTCCGCGGTGCCCGTCACCTGGGGAAATGAGATCAGAGGGGATGGAATTGCCACGGTGAAGCATGAGGCGTGTGCCACACCTTTGTACTGCGTACACTACCAGAATCCAGCGCGCCAACAACCAGAAGCGGACTTTTCAAGACGTGGCTTGGCCCGCCCAGCGTCTGACTCAGCAACTCCGACGGAGGCCGGCAACGCAGAATTGCTCCGTCTCCGTTCGAGGCAGCCTCCTTTATTGGCTGGTGGAAGGTGGGGGGGGGGGGGTCCCCTAAGTCCCCGTCATTGCCAGCTGGGGTGGTGTGTGTCGTATGTGTTCCCACCTTTTGACTTACACGCAACTCAGGAGATCGGTCATGAAATAAGGCAGGCAACTCAAATGAGAAAGGATCACGACGCGAATCTTTAGGGGAAAATCCTGCTAAGAAAGGAGTTTATTGTTTCATGTCTTATGCTTAAACTCTTGAGCTTGACTGTTTCTTGTTTGATTTCTCCGCAACACATCTTTTCTCGTCACTTGTGAGTGCAAATTGAGAAGGAAAAGACACTAGCTGTTACCACAGAAAAATGGATATTGATCACAGAACCAAAGGCCCGCGAGCCTGTACGACTTGCGCCAAGGCCAAGGCGAGGTGTATTTCGGGGCCGGATGGGAGTAACAAGTGCGAACGGTATGTTACGTCTCTGGTATTCGCACAAATCGCGAGAGCGAGCTCTCTTCATTTTCATTTCACGAGAATACTGACTGGGAGGAACAGATGCCACAGGCTTCGCAAGCCGTGCGGTTCGCAGACCCCTGCGCCGCCCAGGGCGAAGAAGGAACCCAAGCCCACCAAAGTCTCTGAGCTGGAGAAGAGGCTGGATGAGTTGACGACGCAGTTGAGCGCGACGACGCAGCAGGGCGGTGTTAGTAGTGGTAGTGTTGGTGGCAGGCACAGCGGTAGCACCACAGAGATCGCGACGACCGTCGCCAACGGGACCGTCGTAGGGAGCGCAAACTCCCCGCTCCCGCCTAGCGGCAGCATCGCGCCGGCGTCAGCTAAGATTCCGATTAACTGCGACCACCTCTTCCCGCCGGAGGAGGTCATCGTCGTTGGGGGCGAGGGGGGGTGGTCGGACACATCGCCGGCGCCGAGTGCGTCTACGGCGGATGATCACCATACCATTGGGAGCAGCCAGGCCGACAACGGCGCCTCGGGAATGGGGTCTGCGACGACGGCGAACGAATCGCCCTGGCCGCTGAACAACGAGCAGAGCAAAGTTCTCAAGGTATTCCTGGACGACATGCAGCCGCTGTACCCCTTTGTCATTGTACCCCCACACATGGGCCCGACGCAGCTGGCCGCCGAGAGGCCGTTCCTGTGGAAGGGCATCATGATGACGGCGTGCCACCTGGACGCGACGAAGCAGGTTCTATTGGGGGAGGAGCTGTTGCAGGATATCGTGCAGGCCGCGTTCATGAAGCCCAAGAAGAGCCTGGATGTACTGCAGGGGTTGCAGCTCCTGATTGCGTGGTATCACTACAACATCAACAGCTACCAGCTCACGAACCTGCTGTTCCTGGCGCGGTCGATGTGCGTTAGTTTGGGGTTCAAGGATAGTCCCATGCAGCTGGGCGAGCGCGGAGGGAAGGGGACGGGGCTCTGTATTAGTTTTCAGAAGCCGGAGAGCGAGGCGAGAAAGGTGCAGACGCCGGAGCAGATTTCGGCACAGTTGGAGCTGATGAGGGCTTTTGCTGGGTGTTATTACCTGAATACGCTGTAAGTCACACTTCCTTCGAACGTGGAAAGGGAGATGAACCTAACGATGAGGGGGGGAAAGCGTCTTCACGACGAACAAGCGGCCAGACGCCTTCATGAACACGACGTACCTCGAGTCCTGCTGCCGACAGATCGAGGAGGCGGCAGAGTACCCCAGCGACGCGCTCCTGGTCCACCTCTTCAAGATCCAGCAGCTCGCGCAGACAATCTCCCTCACGCTCGGGACGGAGAGCAAAAGCTTCCAGTCGCTGCAGCTACCCCTGACCATGGTCGTTCAGAGTTTTCAGCAGCAGCTCGACATTTTCAAGACGTCGCTGCCGGAGCACCTCAAGGACAATGGTATGTCAAGATAACCCCTTTGACATGTGTGTTTTGCGGATGGACTATCTAACGAAAAAAAAAACAGTCGGCCTCCTCGCGCATATCAGCATAGCCCAAGTCCTCCTCTACGAAATCGGCATCCCCGAAGCTCAGGGCCCGGCGTCCTTCATCTCCCTCACGGAACGCCTCGAGCTCCTCTGGGGCTGCTGCAGTGCCGCGAAACAGTTTCTCGAGATCCGCTTCCCGCGCAACCACCTCAGCTTGCAGCCGCGCTTCACCTGCCTCAGCTCCTCGGATTTTCTGTACGTCTTCATTGTGTGCCTCAAGCTCATGACGCTCGACCAGGTGCCCGGGTGGGACCTGCCGCTGGTGCAGAAGCACCTCGATCTCGGCGGGGTGGTCGAGAGCCAGGTGGCGCACTTGGAAGTATTTGTGGCGCATCGGAGCGGCAAGTTCAGGAGGGCGGCGGCGGATGCGGCTGCTGCGAGGGGGGGAGAAGATGCAGCGGCGGCGACGGCGGCGACGGATGTTCCCGGTCCGAAGGTGGTTGATCCGTTTGTGAGGTTGACGGAGATGCTGCGGTACTTCAAGGATATCGTAAAGGGCGAGCTGTGCGGGCTCAAGTCGCAGCCGGCGATCCAGGAGCCGATTCAGCTGCCTGCCAACCTGTCGGACGGCACGCAGGCCATGATTCGAGATCTGGATGCGTCGTTTTGGACGGGCGTGCTCGGGGAGGATGCTGCTGGGACGTGGGATGTCGGGAGTATGTTCCCTTCCATGGACTGGACTGCCACTTAAAGTTCATGGGCCGTGGCTGGATCATGCGTCCGGAGGCGAGGGGCCTGGAGGAGACTTTGTGTAACAATACTACCAGCGGAGGACCGACAGGGACTGACGCATATGAATGTGATGAATGATGACATGGAAAGGAGAGAGCTCTCGCCTCGCCTTCTTAGGGGGTTGTTGGCACAGTACCAACGAACAGAGGAACATGGAGGGTGTCTATCGACGGACCATCACTTCTACCGATCTGAAAAGGAGACAAGGGGCGGGCTGCCCTCTACTTAGCGGCTAAGAAAAGAGGTTTTTTTTTTTTTTAAGGGGGGGGGGGCTTCTCATAAGGAGTCTAGCTGGTTCAATCAGGATTTCATACCTCTTGTAGTTTAATCTTTATAACACACAGAAATATTGATACCAAATCTCTCAGTAACCGTGCAAACACTGATGTGATGATGACGGCTGCGAAAGATAGCACTGATCAGGTGTGTCTTCTAATGCGTTGAAACGAGTATCTCGATTCTTTAAATTCCGCGAGTTCAATAATAAATCGAACGCTCTCACGAATCTCTATCATGCCTGGCTAAGATTCAGGTGGCATCACAACCGTCAATTCTGCGATTAGCCAAATAGGTAGGTAGTTGATGTCGTCACCGACAACCCCACCAGAACCCGCGTCCCGCAGTCATCGGCGCCATCGGAGAAGCGGCCGTTCCGTCCTCGGCCGCAAGTATCCGCATTTACACACTGAAAAAACCGGCGCCGATCCAACAAACGCAGTCATCCCACCCCCGATTCAATATTCCCTCACCCAGCGACCATTCGACATCTGGTTTTCCCTCTCTTCATCCCATCCTCCCTCTCTCTCTCACTTCTTTAATTCAAAAGTATTATTAAGCCATTCACGATGCCGAAACCAACGGTAGACTACTCCCTCTACCTCGTCACCGACTCCACCCCGGCCATCCTCGGCGACCGCGACCTGTCGTCCGTCGTCGCGGCCGCCGTCCGGGGCGGCGTCACCATCGTGCAGTACCGCAACAAGACGAGCGACACGGGCGAGCTCGTCGCCAACGCCAGGAAGCTGCACGCCGTCTGCCGCGCTGCGGGCGTGCCGCTGCTCATCAACGACCGGGTCGATGTCGCGCTCGCTGTTGGGTGTGAGGGCGTGCATATCGGACAGGATGATATGGGTGAGTATATATTTCCTTTCTTTCTTTCTTTCTTCTTTTCCCTCCGTATTTATCTGAAAAGAAAGCGTTCTTCTTGAGCTAGTGACTCGTTTCATTTTTTTCATGAGTACGGTCTTGTGCTGCTGAGATGAAGATATTATCTAAGAAAGGGGCATGACTGACGTCCAACTAGAACTCACTGCCGCAAGAAAGATCCTCGGTCCGGACGCCATCATTGGTGTCACGGCCAGCACCATCGAGGAGGCTCTCAAAGCTTGTGAGGATGGAGCAGACTACCTAGGCATCGGCACCGTCTTTGCTACATCAACGTGCGTCCCTCTCACCGCACCTCTCCCCTCTCAGTTTTCCAACTCTATCAAATCAGCACCACATGTCTCGTCAACATAACCAACTCACTTCGAACCCCTGCTACTTCACTCACTGACACACACTCCAGCAAAGAAAACACAAAACACATCATCGGCACCGCAGGCCTCCGCACAATCCTCACCAAGCTCGCCGCAGAAGGCCACCTCCCTCGCGTAAAGACAGTCTGCATCGGCGGCCTCAACCCCTCCAACATCCAGCGCGTCCTCTACCAGTCCGCCAACCCCGACGTATCATCCCCCGCAAGCCTCGACGGCGTCGCCCTCGTCAGCGCCATCGTCGCCGCCCCAGACCCGGAATTCGCGTCCCGCCACCTCCTCGAGCTCGTGAAAACAAGCCCGTCCTACCGGAGCATCACCTCCTCTGATTCCAAGTCCGGTGCCTCCTCCGCCGAATTCGACGTCGCACAACTCCTCGCCCAAATCCCCTCCGTCATAACCCGGGTAGCGACAACCTCCCCCCTCTCCCACAACATGACAAACCTAGTCGTCCAAAACTTTGCCGCAAACGTCGCCCTCGCCGTCGGCGCCTCCCCGATCATGGCAAACTACGGCGCGGAAGCCCCGGACCTCGCCCGCCTAGGCGGCAGCCTCGTCGTGAACATGGGCACCGTCACCCCCGACGGCATCGCAAACTACCTCCTCGCGCTGGCCGCCTACAACGCCGCGCGCAGGCCCGTCGTCTTCGACCCCGTCGGCGCGGGCGCCACGTCGATCCGGCGGAACGCAGTCAAGACGATCCTGGCGGGCGGGTACCTGGATCTCATCAAGGGAAACGAGGGGGAGATTGCGACTGTTTGGGGCGAGGGGACGCTGGAGCAGCAAAAGGGGGTTGATTCGTCGTCTACGCTATCCCCCGCGCAGAAAGCGAGGCTGGTGCGGGACCTCGCGAGGAGGGAGAGGAACGTGGTGCTCATGACGGGTAAGACGGATTACCTCTCGGACGGCAGCCGCACGCTGGCCGTGGACAACGGGCACGAGCTTCTGGGCCAGATCACGGGGACCGGGTGTGTCCTGGGCACCACCGTCTCGGCTATGCTGGCGGCGTGGGCGGACGAGGATAAGTTGCTTGCCGTCCTGGCGGGCCTGTTGCACTTTGAGGTCGCGGCCGAGCGGGCTGCTGTGAGGGCGGATGTTCAGGGCCCGGGGACGTTTGTACCGGCGTTTATTGATGAGCTTGCGAGGGTGAGGAGAGTGACTGTCGAGGGGGATTTGACGTGGTTGCAAGGTGCCAAAGTCAAGGTTGTTGATGTTGAGTGAGGGAGTCCCCAATGTCGTAATTCTCTCTCGATGGATCTGGGAAGTGAAGATAAGAAAAAGCCTGAAATCTTTTGTAGATGTATGTCTATAGCCCACCACATGATCTTTGAAAACCCAGACAACACGAAATCTAAATCTTGGGCGCCAAAGCCTGCAAAACCTCTCTCGTATCCTTGCCTGTATCCTTGACCAACCCAACAACACTCTTGAACTCGGGCCGTGCCGCATCCCCCATCATCTCATAAATCACGCTCTCGCTCGTCGTCACAACCACTCCCTCACACCGCAACCTTGCCAGCGCAATCGGCACCTCCTCGCGGTTACAGCTACTCACCCCGTCCGCGAGCACATACACCTTATGTCCTTCAGCCAACAAATCCAACGCCGTCTGCGTCACGCAGATATGCGACTCGATGCCCACAATCAACACCTCGTGCTTTCCCTTTCCCTCAAATTGCGCAGCAATCTCGGGGACCCACATGCTGAACTTGGTCTTGTCCACGGGCGGGCGCACGAGGTCCGATTCTTTGAGGTACGGAGCGAGCTCGGTGACCGTATCGCCTAGGCGAGCGCGGTTCTGGGTCGTGGTGTAGACTGGGATCTTGAGGGTGTCGGCGGCGCGGAGGAGCTTGGAGGTTGTCTTTACGACCTTGTCGAATTCGAAGATTGCGTTACGGAATTTGTCTTGGAGGTCGCAGACGCTGGTACAACATTATATTTATTAGCAGACCATCGTACTGTAACGGAAGCGTGGAAGCATCTAGGGGGCATCAAACGCACAAAATGACCGGCCTTTGCAGGCGGCGGTTCGCGGGGTCAGACATGCTCGCGGTCGTCAGGTGGCGGGGTCGAAATAAGAGTCCGGACGGTCGAGGTTGGGATATTCGAGCAAAGGATAGATGTATCGAAAGAGTTCTCGCAATCGACATGTCACGGTGGGAGTGAAAGGGGGGAAACAGGCCGTCAATAGAATCAAAGGGGAAAAAAACCCAGCGCAGGTCATCAAAAGTCAGTCATTCCGTGACTCGGAGCTTAGAGACTCGGCACGTCACACTCGGCCTTGGAGTAGTGCGGGGAACCGGCGCATCCAAGTGGGGTAAATTAGTGCCGGACCGGGCCTCTCTGGACACTGCAGACAAGAGGTGCATTGAAGAATTCATGTACGTGACCTCGCAGAGACCCTGGGCTGTCCATGACGGACGGCAACCAACAACTAACCCAGCGCAAAGTACCTGCAGTACAGAACTGGCATTCGTCTCCTGGCTGGTTGGGTAGTTGCAGGTTGGAGAACTGCAGGGTCGGCATCACCTCTGATATATCACTTTCTAGACTTTGGCCCACAGAGGTGGACCAAAAGAAGATCCTCAATGCAGCTAACGCTGTGGGCGTTCTAGTTGCCGATCCGAGTTGGGCGTGGCTACCTGGGGAAATATTGGACACTCTTTGAACTCGTAGATTTTTGTTATTTGGTTTCCGCTGGGAGGAGTTTTCTAGCCATAGTGCCATGAAACCCATGTGTCATGGCATACTACATGGCTACCTACTAGTCGGCTTTGCTTGCGTTGTTTTAAAGCTTGCCGTCTCACCTCTTCATGCTGGAGGGAGTCGTCTTGTGAAAGCAAAGAAAAAGAAGATTACTGCTCTGGCCATGTTCGGCCACATTCGCATCCAGTGCCACCGGGGCTTGCGTTCTCTCCGCTCCAATCACTCCGCCGTCGCCGTGGGCTTTGCCTTGCCAGCCGGGTTCATCCACGAGAAAGCCGAGGCACCACCGATGGGATTCGCCGACCGTGGCAAAGCTGGGCCAGCATTCTTCGCCTCGCGCGGGGCCTTGACTTCCGTTGTGCTGTTGACCGTGGTGCTGCTAACCGACCTCTTGGGTTCCCAGCGAACGTTGGTCGGCGGGTTGCTCTCTGCCGCCACACTGACCTGACTCTTGCGTCGATGCTCTCCGCTGGTTCTGGGTGCTGGCGGCGGCTCGTAAGCAGCTCCGGTTCTGGCAGACGATGATGAACCCGATTTCAGGGGCTTCAACACCTTCATGTTCCGGCTTCCCCGCCCGGCGGGCTGATATCCGCTTAACGGGCCATTGGCGTCCCGTTGCCCGTTCTCGGCACCGTTTGCTGAAGTGCCCTGCCGCCATGAGCCCCAAATGCCGCCCGCGGACTCGCGCCGGCTCCCCTCTCCGCCGGTCGAGTTGTTGTGCGCCGTTGGGTACTCTCTTGCCCCCGATTCGGACCCGCTGGTAGTATCTTTGCCAGGCCGTTCACTCTCCCCGCCACTTTCAGACAGGTTGCTTGCTCCAATCGACTTGTTGGGTACAGAGTGATTGTCCATGGGCGAAAGAGGCCCCTGCGACTCAGCATCCTCAAGCCGCATGCTAGACTGGCTGCTTTCCAATGCGCTTTGCGTTGTTGAGGCCTGAGGCCGTGGGTCTCCAGACACGAAAGGCGCCGCGTTGGCGTTGAGTCGCGGCTTTTCAGGGATGAAGTTGATTGTGCTTATATGCTTGAAGGCAGCTTCGTCCTCTGGGCGTACAAATGGAACAGACAGCTTTTCGCGTTCGCTGCCATAAAGGCACATGCGGTTCTGGGAGAGGAGAATATCGGCTTGATGAGCCCTGAGGGTATCGCTGCCAATGAAGATCTGAATGCCCCTTTTCGGCTCCGCGCCTTCGGATTGCTCCATGCCAGACACCTCAAAGGTTGCGAGGAGGCAGGGCATTGAATGCCCAGGGCTCGATGATCGGCTGCTGCGTTCGGAAACAGTGGCTTCGACTAGGTATACCGGAAGTCGAACTTTGTATGTGCCATCCATGTCGTGTTGAATCTCGTCCAACAGATCGAGATCCCTAAGGACAGAGTAGTCGACCACGGATTTCTGGGAGCCCGTACAAAGATCAGCATATAACACCGTATCGTGGGCGAAGCTTGTTGTAAGCCAGCATCGGATGATGGTCGGTACGGAGCCCAGGAAAAAGAGGCCCGGTGGAGGCTCCGGCATGTCTATCGGAGAGTCGTCTTCATGACTGCTGACCATGAAGTTGGTGTCCAAGCCCAAACTGCTCGCTCTCCCCGATGCCACAGAGTGAAATGAGTGAACAGAGTGACCGGCAGAGCTATGGCGTCCATCCGACTTGTGAGACAAGGACCGCTCCATCATCAACCCGCTGGACGGTCGGGGGGGTCCGAAGTCTCCAGAGTGGCGGTTGCTCTGACTAGACCAGTCGGCCGCTCCCCGTAATGCACTCTCATCGAATCGTACGCTGTTGGCTCGGGAGGCAGCACCCCGGCGGGTAGGCTCCTCCTCCGCAGGTCCTAGGTGAAGAGAGCTCAGCAGGTGCTGGCCTTGCTCGTCGAAATCATCAAACATATCGTTGGGCGAGAGGTGAGTTGGCCCTGGTGAGTGGGACGTTAGCAAAAAGCAATTGCACCTTTAAAGAAGCTGATATTACCTTGCTGAGGGGTTCCGGCAAGGACGCCAGGGAAAGGATGCTGTTGCCACACGGATTTGAGGCTCGCATCTTGTTCCTGACGCCTTTCGAGCCTTACTAGTCTCTCGCCCTGATTACTCTGAACCAGTTGGATTTGCTTCAAATCCATTTGGATGTTGAGGAGATCGTCGCGGGTGATGGGGAACCGATGATCCATTCCCGAAAGCAGTTGTGTGGAACTCAATATAGTGCTCGGACCAAAACAGAATCAAAAGACGTTCGGGAACGTAGGTCTGCAGAGTGTGTGTGAGAGCGAAGGACAACGGCAAGCGAGTGTCTTGAGATCAGTTAATGATCGAGTAGGAGCGCCCGTTGGTGGGTATCGACAAAGCCGTTGGAAGTAAGGATCGTTCGGGAAGGTTATTCACGCCCATGGGTTTATTGTCGAATCCAGGCGCGTTCGAATGACGGGTCGAGGAAGGCTATGGGCTCTTCCGACCTCGATCCCTACGATATCAGTTCACGAGGTCCTCCTCCCCCGCCACATCGCACGGTGAGACCAAATAGGTCGTCAACGGCAGCAGCGGCAGCAGGCACAGGCTTGTATTTTCTTCGTATCGCGGTAGCTTTCTTCTTTCAGAGTCCAGTCGAGTTGTTCGACTGCGGCAGCTAGAGTTCGGTGGTGATGGTATGCTGGTTTTGCACGATGGTCTACAGAGGCGGCTCTGCCCCAGGGACGATGGCTTTGAAAGGTTGCGTGTTTGGTCGAATGTTCTCGACGCCAAGATTGAGGCAAATGACGACTTTGGAGACACGTATATTGGCCGTAGATGGTGTGTATATGGTACGTGGGTGCGATAGACTCTTGGTGCGATGGCAGAAGGGTGTGATGTCGTCACGGTAGAAGCGCTAGAGACGATCCTGAATAGTAGTAGATGCTTCGGTTCGATTGAAGACTCGCAGAGGACTCGATTGATCAGGACGCAGGGTGTCGGCTGTTTCGATGTAACGGTATGAGCCCAGGCAAAAAGGGCTTTTGGAAGAGGCAGGGTACCAAGTGTTTCGTGGAGAGAGGTGAAGAAAGAAGAGTGTTTGATAGAACGGGGGGTTAGACAAACGAAGCCCACCTGGTTAATTTGGACCGGCACGTTGAATTAGTGAAGCGGGCAGGACACGAGCAGAGACGGACGGGCCTGGATGGAGGTGAAGTGAACGGGCAGCAACGGGAGTGGACCAGCCAACGAGAGAGGTGTGGTCCCGGGGGTTTGGCGCATGGGTGAGAGAGAGTACGGAGTATCGCAAAGGTTCTCCCAACTTATCGTTGCGAGGAAGCTGCACACTTCAGGTGGGTACGTCGGTGGATGAGAGCACTGAAAGAGGAGGGTCCGGCTGATGATTTGTGGACTGGCACGACTGGGAACGCTGGACCCAGCCTCGGACAATCTGGTGGTGTACTTGGGAGGTACATGAATGGGCTGCCTGCCGATTGCCTACACCAGTGACCAAGGTACTTTCAGTACATACGTAACAGTGCAACTCAGTGCAGCGCGCCTCACCTTGGTGCCTGCAAAGTCAAGTCGTCGCCCTCCCGCCCATTCACCCGCTGGAACTCGCAACGGGGTAACGGGGTGTGACGCCGTAGGAGGTTCTGATTGGGGCCCGGCGAGCTCACCACCTTACCCCCCAACCCCCCATGCCAGGGACGTGCTGAAGACTTTCAGCGTCACCTCATTCCATCCGCCATTTCCAGTCCACCTAGGTAGTATAAGGTAGGTACCTAAGGTAGTTGGCAATGACAAAGTGACTTCCGCTGTTTCCTCACCTCCTGCACATCTTCAAACTCTAAAGCACCCGAGATGCCAGTGCAGAAACGTCCAAAACCTGCCTTGGGACTGCCAAACTACCAGGATAGTGTCACTTCCTCCGCACTTCAGCTTTGCTTACCCTGCCCCTACCTTGTCCATGTTCTCTGCTATGCAAGGAAGCTTCACCGAGGTCAACGACTGCTTTGGATGCGGGCATTGAATCCGCCAAAGGCAGAGCTGTAGATCTTCAACTGATCACGTAACTGAAGTCAAAATTAGAAACTTTCCCATCTTGACCTTCCTACTCGAAGTCATAGAATACAGTCGTATAAGATAGGGTAAGTCGTATATGTGGTTGACCACCTGTCATTAATCCTCCGATGCTATATCCGTCGCCATTCAGCCCGCAGCGCACCTACCGAGTGAGTATGCGTTGCGGGATACTCCCGAGACCAGTAGCGGCTTTGAATTCTCCTGTCCTTGGCAATTCCCGGTGATGTCTCAGAGAGCGGCATGTCTCCCTATGGCTCGGCACGAAGCGAACGCGAAGACATAGGCCAGGCTACGAGTAGGATAAGCAGAGACAGACGCACAATGTACGCCACCGTCATCACATGCTTTGCTATTTCGGAAGCGTCATCTTGAGTACTCGGGCAGTTTCTTACAAAGAATTCACTTGATTTGAAATGCCTCTGCAGCGTCTCCTGCACAATACATGCAGCATCGCATGGACCGCTCTATTAGCTTCTCCTTCGTCCATGTCAAACTCACTTACGCCGGAGGGTTGAGATCCCGCCAATCTGGAAATACATAGTCCGTACGATCGTCGTCAGGCAGACCGACGTACTCTTGCCCAATGTGAGGCAACACCGTCTGGTAAAATACCCTATACGCCTCGCCGCTCAAGTGGAGGCCGTCCGGCAGGAGGTCCGCGAGCCCGCCCTGCTCGCCAAGCTCCGGGGTGCCGAGCAAGGGCCCTCCGGCCTTGAAGCCAGGCGTCTTGGCGACGGCGTGATCCATGAGGGCCTGCCACAGGTCGATCGAGACCACGCCGGGGACCTCGGCGGCGACCTCGCGGGCCGCTTGGGTGTAGCCTGCGCTGATCTTGGCGGTTCGGGTCGGCTTTGGGTGGCCCCAGGCCAGGTCCAGCTTGGTGATACGAATCTCGTCGATGGGCGGCGGCGTGACCAGGAGGATCTTGGGGTTGTGGGCTGTGATGTTGGGGTGCGTGACAATCTTGGTGAGGTTCTGCTTGTATTCTTCTAGGGGCACATTTTGGGTTGTCGTATGCATGGGCTGAACTGCATCGTTTGCGCCCAGAAGTACCAACTAGGGAGAGTCAGGTTGACATTGAATGCCCATCGGCACGAGGTTTGTACTAACGAGGTACTTCAGCTGTGGCCCTGAAGGTGAAGGAGGGGGAAACATCTCGGGGAGGTATTTCAGCGCATTCGCCGAATTCCACCCGGAAAACCCACGGTTGACAACGTCGTAACGGCGATTCACATCTAAGAAGCAGCGTGTAAGTGTCTGGTCCCGGACCTTGGAAACCTGGTTGTGGTCAACTCACGACATTGAAGCTCGGCCTGGAAGCAAAAGCCTTCAAAGGTCACCACGGACCCTTGGAACAGAGAATCTCCAAAGAGCACAACTTGAGGGTATGGTTTCTTGCAATCGTGGTAAGTAATGTGTAGCGCCTGTATTAATGATAGCACTTACAGCCATGTTGGGGTATCTATTAGGCTACTCTATGTCGCTATACGAAGAGGAATACGCAACCAGCCCATGGTGTTGAGTGGCTTGCCCAGCTTATATGTGTCTCCGTGACTTTGCTGCAGGGAGCCCAAGACACCCTTCTCCTCAATCTCTCAAACACCACCTCGGAGCCACTAACACGGCAGAACATCCCGTCTAGCCGAAAGCACGATATCCTCACTGGGTAGGCTGTGCGAGAGTACCTCCAGTCTGCGGTTGTCGGCCTATCAATTGCACGAGAAGACCGTACCACTAACCGAGTTTTGAAGGAGGAGTTGGGTTCCACTCTTTAGACTAACAGCACTGGCAGCGACAGATTGCTCCTGCGTATCCAGCGGTCCATGACCCATTGCCGACGTCCGCCAAGGATTAAATAGTAGATGGTCATCCATTAGTACCCAAACCGAAGCATGGTTTAAATCATCGTCTCTCTGGATATTCGGTCACAACACTTTCCAATAACGAGGCGCATCAGAAGAATGGGATCACATCTCAACCTAGCTGGCAGCCTTAACAAAGGTATCGAGGTGGACTGGCGGGGCTCATCCGTCAACTGGACCCACATTCTTATCTGAAGAGCCTGCGATTCGCTCAATGGCTTATCAGCAAAAAAAAGTCGGCGGAACTAATCCCCGTCAGAAAAAAAAATCCAGAACTCCAGGAAAATGCTGTAAGAGAAAACACCCCCAGTCTCATTGCTCTCCCCCGCCATTGAGTATTCGATCACTGCGGAATGCCGCAAATTTTCTAGACAATGGCGTCCTCTCTTGCTGCGCAATTGGCGCAGATCGCCGCCAACTCGAAGGCATCTTTGGATGTCAGGGCGCAAAAGGCCGCCCACTCAAAGTCTCTCCTCTTCGAGCCGAGAGTGGCCGCGACACAGAGTTACCAGGCGCTCTACACGATATGTTTGGAAGGCTTTGAGGAGTTGTGCGAGCTCGATGGCCGATTCAAGCCGTTTTCTCTGACGCTCTTTAGCGAGCAGAGCATGAGCGAAGACCGCACCCAGATGACCGCTGCTGAGAACGCCGAGCTGGACAAGAAGGTTGAGTCCTTCCTGCGCCTCGTCGGAAGCAGACTGAGGCTTATGCCTTCGCTTCGTGCCCTTGAATGGCTTGTGCGAAGATTCAGGTATATTGGAGCCTCTACTCTCGCCGAAGCCCCCATGCTGACGTTGTCGCAGAATCCACGAGAACAACACAAAGTCTCTCATTACGACCTTCCTTCCGTACCACTCGATCCCCGCCTTTGTTACCTTGCTCTCGATCCTGCCGTCCAAGATCCCCAATGAGTACCGATTCTTGAACCCTTACATCAAGTCGCTCACTTCACCTCCACGATCTGTCCTGGTCCACGAAGCGATCCACAAGGCCGACTTCCTCAGCACCCTCTCCGAATACACCCTCGAGGCCTGCAGAAACCAGCAACAATACCCGACCTTGATCTCGTTCTGGGGCGGAATCATGACGGAGGCCGTGAACGGTCTCCTTGAAAACATGCGCTCAGGTCGCCAGGCTGTTCAGCAGGACAACAACGAAGCTTTCCTCCACCGCGTCGGCCCCACCCTCGCCGAGGCAATGACCATGAAGAAGGTCCCCAACATGCAGATCGCTTCGTACATGGCCGTCACCATTGTTGCGGCCAAGGGAAGCTTCGACGACGCGACTCTGTCGGCTTTCATGGAGCAGATTGTCCACGGTTGGACCAGCGAGACTGTACGCCCTGGCCTGGTGTGCTTGTGCATCCTCGCTCAGTACCGATCCGCGAAACAGCTGTCTGGAAAGGTCACCAAGGCCTTGTTGAAGGTGCAGGACCTTGGAGAGATTCTCGTCGAGCTTGGTCAGGAGAGGAGGGTTGACAAGCTCACCAACGGCCTGTGCATCGCCTTTATCGAAAGACTCTGCAAGAAGGGTGATGCTCGGGGACTGCCAATCATTCGGGTAATCTTGATGAGCAAGATCCTGAAGGGGAAGCAAATTGCTGTCATCTTCAAGTCTCTGGTTCTTGCTGCCCACAGACTCGACGACGAGGTCGACAAGGATGGCGAAATTCGCAAAGAGCTTGGCTCGACGCTGATCGATCTTTCGCGCTTTTCTGGAGAGACTAGCGAGATCATCCGGACGGTTCTTGAGGAGGTTGATTTCGATGTGGAGGAGCTGGAGATGAAGCTCGACGTCTCCATTCGCCAGAGAAAGGCACTGCCCGGAACCCAGGAGGATACCGAGATGGACGGATCCCAGCCCGCTGCGCCGACAAAGGAGAACTTGAGAGAGACTATTCAGGAGCTTTCTGGCCAGACGCGTGCGCTCCCATCGTGCATCTCAACTAGCACTGGCGACGTCTACGACGAGTTCAGTAGACTCTTCCTCCGGGTTGTGTCTCAGCAGTCTGAAGACCCGACACTTCTGGCCGATTTTGACCAGCTGCCGTCTTTAAGCCGGCGAACTGCAGTCAGCGATCACACCTACATTACCTTTTTTGTCCGCATCTGGTCCGGCCCGTACCCGACTCTGGCACGCGCCGCTGCTGTCGACACTGTCAGGAGACGTTTAAGCGACGGCGATGGCAACGATCTCGACTTCCAGGCTCTTATCCCTTACTGCCTCGTTGCACTCGTGGACTCCTCAAAGAAGGTTCGCCGTGCTGCGGCCGAGCTTCTCATCCAGATAGGTCACTTTTTCCCTCACCAGTCCAAGGCCGCGAAAGCTTCTGTGTGGGGTGGCAAGAAGCTTTACGACGACAGCGACAAGGTGCAGTGGTTGGATGCCGATACCGTTTCTCGCCTCCTTCACGGCGTCATTCTTCCGGCTCTGGAGGAGTGCATCATGCATGAGGGCCACATTCGCGCCGTCCTCCACTCGACACTCGATAGCAGCGCCAAGGGCGAGAGCAGCGAAGGAAAGAAGGCACTGAGCTCCTCTGGTAGGGCTTCGATTCTCTCGTTCCTTGCCAGCCATGTCGTCGCAACACCGCTCGTTAGGGTCAAGTCCAACCTGCTCTCGATCCTCAACCGCATTAGGGGAGTATCATCCACCTCTAGAACAAAGGTCCTGCTCCCGGCTTTCCGATGGTGGGCGTCGTTGTCTGCCGAGGAAGCGGACCGTCTCGCTGAGGCTGAGGAAGTCGACAAGTCGTTGCTGCACACCACCTTTGCCGAGATTGTCGTACCCAATGACAGCGAAGGCCTCGAGTGTCTCCTCTCTATCATGAAGGATTCCGCCTCCGCCAAGCGTCCGGAGCTGGTCAGATCCATCTCGGCGCGCATTCGTGCCATGTGGGGCTCAATGAAGGCCGACACCAAATTTGATGTCGCCCAGACGATGCTGGAGCTCTCCCAGGCACGACAGGCATCCCAGGACGAAGAGGACATTATTGCTGACGAGGCGGCTGACTTCCTGAGAAACGTTGAGCTCACGACAGAGATCTTGGCCTACTTCCTCGAGTCCATCCAGACCGGCACGAAGCTCATCACCGAGCCCCCTGCCAACAAGCGACGCAGGACCAGCTCCTCCGAGGCCAACCGGGGAGTAGTCAGCGCTCAGGCCAGTGCCGAGCTCAGCGCAACTCTGAGATCCGTCACCTTTGTCCTCCAGCTCGTCGATGGTTCGCAGCCTGCCGCTCACCCCGAGCTACTGGACAGCCTCTTTGGTACCCTCTCCGAGCTTCAGCACTTCCGTACTGTCATCGGATCGGAGCTTGGATACCTGCAAAACCTGGTGCTCACAAGTTTGATTGCTATGGTCCCTGCCTACAGAGACAACAAGAATCTCAAGATCGACAGCTCAGGAGGCCACGGCGATTTGCTTGTCAACTGCATCCAGAAGTCTTCCAGCCCTATTGTGCAAAACTCGGCCCTTCTCCTGATTGCCAGCCTTGCTACTGCCGCGCCTGATCTTGTGCTTCATAGCGTGATGCCCATCTTCACTTTCATGGGTGCCTCTGTCCTCCGCCAGAATGATGATCACTCAGCTCATGTCGTCAACCAGACCATCAAGGAGGTCGTACCGCCGCTGATGGCGTCGCTTAAGAAGGGCAAGAGAAACCCCATTGCGGGTGCCACAGAGTTGCTCCAGAGCTTCGTCACTGCCTACGAGCACATCCCCGCACACCGCAAGCAGGGCCTGTTTGTCGCTCTCATCAACACCCTCGGACCCGATGAGTTCCTGTACGCCCTGTTGGCTATGCTTGTTGATAGATACGGCCCCAACGACAGCCTCATGGCGTTCGCCTCTGAACTCCTCGGCGTCTACAGTGCCGAGGTGCAGCTTCAAACCTTGGCTAAGCTCCTGGACTTGATCAGTGACATTTTCAAGCCCAAGCCAGGCCTTTCAGCCACCCTTTTGGGAGTTGGCGAGGATCTGTCAGAGAAGAAGCCCGAGGCCATTGCTATCCAACAATTGACCGTGTTCCCCGCTCTGCTCTCCAGCAGGAAACTGCGCAAGGAGATTACCATCCTCACCGAGAGGGACGACATGGATTCTTCAAAGATTCGGGACTTGTATGCCATCCTTCTCAGAGACGTCCTGGCCCTTGCGGAGACCGTCAAGCAGCAGAAGGCTCTGCACGAGTGCTGCGGCAACGCCTTAGCCAACCTTCTTAACCTCCTTTCCATCGGCGAGTTTATCAAGTCGGTCGAGAATCTCCTGGACCGCACTGAAATCGACCTCCGTCGCAAGGTCCTCCGTGCCCTCGAGGTCCGCGTGGACCAGGAGGGCGTCGCAGATGTTGCCTCCAGAACGGCACTTCTTGCTTTCCTGCCGCAGCTCACCGCCGCAATCAGGGACACGGACGACCTCAAGTACAAACACACTGCCGTTTCGTGTATCGACAAGATTGCGGAGAAGTACGGCAAGAAGGATATCGAGGCCGTCGCGGGTGCCGCCGCGACCATTGCTGGACCTCACTGCCTCGGCCAGCCCGATGTCAGCCTCCGTGTTATGGCATTGCTTTGCCTTGCCTCTCTCGTTGAT